ATCTTACTTGTAATGTGAAACTGTTTTTCCCACAGAAATTGATGTAAAATACAATAATGCGTTCAATGCCAATAAAAATACTCAAATATTTTATGTATAACATTTATTCAAAGAAAATTATACAATACACATTATTAAGGAGCGTGAATCATCTTTATCTTTTCTTCTAGCACGGAATGAACCAACCTGAAATGTGAATTCGATTTGCAGAAAACAAAAAAAAATTACAGATAATATGTCTGATAAACATGCCAAACAATATGCCAAATTCTTAGGTTATGTAAAGGCTATAATCAAATATTAAAAATTAATTAATTTGACTAGAGGTAGGCAGTTATGCTGCCATCTCGTATTAAATTTAATAATTATAAATAATTAATTTTTAATTTAGACATTTAAAAAATTTAATTTGAACTGGTCATTAAATTTAGTACAAGATGGCAGCATAACTGCCTACCTCTAGTCAAATTAATTAATTTCTAATATTTAATTATAGCCTTTACATAGCCCAAGAATATGGCATATTGTTTGACGTGTTTATTATATAACAGGCTATGATTGTCGATGTTTATGTAATATGTGTGAATATGTCATAGTTTGGAAAAATGTGTGATCGCAACCAACACTAAAATACTAGCGGAACAAGTGCTGAACACAGACTGATGGTGAATGCTTGCAGGACTTCCCCTCTCCTTGTCACTCATTATGCAAAGCATTGCTTGCTAAATGTGTAATTTTTTTACAATTTGTTTTGCTTGTTATGCAAGGTGCTTGTTAAGCGAGGTTCCATTGTATATTAGTTATACAAAAAGTAAAATTTGTTTTCTGCAGAACAGTTTTTAGTAATATTTATATTAAAGGCACTTATGTTTTCCAGTGTATTTATTTAGTAGTAGCTTAGACAATGGCAATAGCTCAAAAAATCCAAGGCATCAAATGTAATATTCCCTTATAAGTACTGCATCTCTGGTGACTACTGTTGAATTAATAAATAGTTATAAAAGAAGATAAAGAAGAAAAAATTATAATAGAAGTATAACATTCAGAATAAAGGCTAAAAGCTTGCAACTTTTGTCACAATAACTTTACTAAGAGACTACTTATAGATTAACACCTGAAAGTACTATTACAGTAAGGTAGTACATTGAGTAGATTCTACTGTTCAAAGTAGAATCTACTCAAAGACTTAAGAAAAAAAATATTTTATATAGCTTCCTACACAATTGTTGAAAACAAAGATTAAAGAACACTGTCATCCTGTTAGTTGCATCAAGCAAAAAATAAGTCAATCCTGAAATAAAACAGGAACAATACATCTATCAGTAGTGAAGTTGAACTATTTAAAATTTTAAAAAAACTTTGTTGTTAAATGAAAAAATTATTTTAATACAATAATATTTTCTAACTTTCAGATACAAGAAACTTAAAAAAAATCTATCATTATCCTAAACCTGTATTTATTTTTTTAATACTTTTTTGTTTATTTTATTTTAACTCAATTTATTTCATTTTATTACATTAAATTTTAATTGTTATTTTACATAAATTACTATATTTTACTCTTAAAATATACTATTTTTTATTTTAACAATTAAATTAAATAAAAACTTAAACTTTGGTTTTTATTTAAGTACAGTAAACAAACATCATCTAAAAAACCAATAAACTAATTTTAAAATATTTGGAGTGTTTATCTAATCAGATTTCTCAGAAAATTAGTAAATAACAAATCATATTAAAACCTCAGTTTTTATTATATTAATGACTAGATTTACTAAATAACATATGTTAATTTGAATGATATATTAGAATTAATTTGTATGTGTATGTGTGTGTACAGGAAATAAATTGCAAAAATAACAAAAAAGAGTACAAACAACAAATGAAGTTGACACCCCATGTGATCTGAAAAACTGACTTATCTGATGTGTTGAGTAAACTGAAGTGATAAGAAAATAACAGCAGCAGCTTTTTCAGATTAAAATGTTGTGATATTAGTTCTCAATTAAAACAGAAGATAATGCAATTTTGAAATTAAAATGATTGTTATTATTATTATTATGTATGAATGATTACAATGGATCCCTGTGCTTAACAGTTGGATCAACTAACAAAAAAATAAAAAAAAACCTGGCTAACAAAATAGGCCATATAGATCGTAATATATTCAACTAATGGAAAAATATAACAAATTTCTAATAAAAAAGCTTAAATGCACATTTCTCAGTGTTCATATGATAAAACTAGTTTTAATTATACTTTTTGCATGGGCGATATTTCAGCCTATGTAGTGAAATTCTTGTGTATTTTTTATCTTTTATATAAATTTAATATATAGCATATTATGCCTGTATTCATATTATAACTTTGTAAGATTTTATGTTATTTTTTTAATACTTGTTTTTACTTGTTGAGTACTTTTTAGGTATAGAACAGATTAAGCCATTTACATATTATAAAGGGTTTCACTTGTAAATCTCTCTGCAAAATGAATTAATTTCATTACAGGTTCACTGTATGATTAGCAAGTTAACAAAAGATGATTTACTTTTATTCTTTATTCAATTTACATGGAACCAAATGTAAAACAATGTAATCTATTGATTTATGTTATCAATTAAGTAAATACGACTTCATTGAAAGTGAAATAAACTTACAGTACAAATACAAACATAAAAATAAAAATTCAAACAATGTAGTTTCCATTCCAACAAAGCTAACAGTTTTCTTTCAGTAATTAATCTCAAAGAGAAAAATGGGTTCTCTTTGCTTGGAAGATGAAGTCTTTTCAATTCTGTATTTGATAACAGTTAAATCCCAAAAAAATGTTAATTCTATACTGGACTTATAATCCAAAATGATCTGCAATGCCTTAAGGGTCTCAGTTTTAGTTATATTCAGAGTTTGTATTTCATTTTCCTTCTCTTCCTCGACACTCACTTTGTGTTTGTAGCTCTGAAATTTTGCAATGATATCCTGAATTTCTTCAATTGAGCTAACATCTAGGCACTTGTCTATTTGGGTATACTCTGTGGCAGTGGTGCCCAAACTAAGACTGCCAAATCTAGCCTGCAAACATATTTGACACATCACTTATAAATGATAGAAACAGGCTTACTTTTACTATACATATGAATAAACAATATATTTATGGCTCATCTACCTATAACTTATGTGAAATTTGGTCTTCAAACTGAAAAGTTTACAGCATCAATATCTCTTAAATTTTTTCAATTATTTACATCATTTCAGTATATCATCTGATGTGATAAACTCATCATTAACCAGATCTTCATCCTCCTGAAATTCTGATAAAATAAACCCCACATGTGTAAAACAATTTGCTAATACTTAAAACATTTTTTGAATGATGCTGTTTTTTCCTGATTGAAAATGTCATTTGATTTGTATAATATTTTAACCTCTTGAAAGACTGTTTATTTCTATATTTTAATATTGTTGTCATTAACAAGTTTTTTCCCCCACACACACTTTTTAAAAGTCACACCATGACAAACTTTAAATTGTTCCAATCATCTTTCATTCTTAATGAGAATGAAAAATGGTTGGAAATTGGTTGGAATGAAAATAAAGATGGTCATTAAATTCATTAATTTTCAACCCTTTAGCAATTTCTAAACCTTTTCTTTTAAAATGGCACTAGAAATAAGAACATAATCACTGTATAGGGATCCTTGATGTCTTCATACAGTGATTTCTTTTGTTTCTTTAGAGACAGTTCCATGGTACATTAGGAAACAACTTTTTTATTTCAGCATTCCTAAAAATATCAATCTGTCAATGTTTTTATTAGCAAACTCAGTCTGTAGAGTTGTGGAATTTTTAAAATTTATTATAATTTCACATTTTTCTCTTAGAGTAGTTAATTTTTGTATGCTAATTTTTATTTTCACTAAAAAGAAATGAAAAAGTTTGATCACAATCTTCACGGTCAAGAATAAGTGTAACTTTCACAAAATTGCTTTTGTTCTTAGCTAACTGGCTGCACTTAGGATCAAAGATGCCAATAATTAATTAACAACCCTTTGTTTCACCAACAACAATGGACCAAATGTAAACACAATAAAACTTAAAACTTTGATGCTGCCTTTTGTCTGAAAGCAGTGGCTTTCAAATGCAACCACTATGATATTTCTATATGGCTACTGGAAAATTTTTTCATAAATATCAAAGTATTTTATTGAATTTCAACATTAAAAATTAATTTATATGCAGTATAATTATTATATAGCCTTTTATAAAAGAGAGAGTCAATGATAAGAGAAACAATTGTTTATAAGCATTTTAAAATTTCATTTCCTTAAATTTATTTGTAGCCACTAGCTATATCCTATAGCCATTTATGTAACTACCAACTAGTCTAGTCAAATGATGTGAACTATTTTTACAGCCACCAGAAAGATTTTCTTGAAAATCGTAGTCTAGAGAGAAGATGAGAAAAAGTTTAAGTCTAGTAAAGCAGAAAAAAAAATTTTCTTTCATTTCTGTTACAAGAAAATGTTTACAAAATGTAACTAGCTTGACAAGAAGCCAAATAGATTTCCATTAACAAACCACCATTTTGTATGCATGACTGCAATACTTTCACATGAATAATTATATTAAAATATACTTTATTTTGATTGTGACATCATTAGAGAATTATTTTCATTTACTATTGAAATAACACATTTGTTTTTTTATTAACCATAGAAAAGCCTGTCTAAATTGACATAAGTTTTGTCTAAAACAAAAGTTATCTCAATTTATATCAGAGTGATTATTAAATTATAATTTGTTAGAAAGTCAACTTGTCTGTAGTAAAAAACAAGCATTAACATTAGGTAACTGAGACATGGCAAATGTGTTAATGCATGTTATAGTTTTGAGTTAACCAAAATAAATTTACATTATTGTCTATAGAACTTGGCTGACACTTCAGAAGACTGCCAATTTAACCAAACTGTAAACTTACTGCAACTCAACCAATTTTGAATTACCTTTTTTCCTTGCAGCTTTAACCATTTCTTCATATTCCAACTTGTGTCGACTTTCCTCTTCAGGATGTTTTGCAGGAAGATTACTAGAAAAATAATTCACAAAAGTGTAAATAAATCTAAATAAAATTGAAATGAAAAATGAATCTCATCATGATATATCTCACAATTATACTGTCATTACAAATACTTTATTGAAAAAACCCAAGAATGCTTTATGTAGCTTATTTATATAAACTTATTTCATTTTAGGTAAGTTTAAATATTCCATAAAAAAATTAAATAGCTGACAAAAAAATATATATTTTAAAATCTATAATCAGAATATATAGAAATTTAGTTGAAAAAATTACTTAATTGTTAGTATCATACAAAACTAAAAGTTTTAAATCTGAAAATGCTAAACTACTTTCCATTTTACAGAACATAATGATTTTTTATGATATATAAAAAGAAAAATTTATAGTTTAAGAATTAAGTATTGTTATAAGAAAGCATCAAATTACAAAACTTTTATTTTGGAAAAATTCATTCCAAAATTCTTACTCAAGATTCACTCATTCAATATTTCTTGTACTAAAAATACTAACAACAAAAGGCAAAAAAAGGCACATGTCCACCTTTCATTACCTTGAATTACATTTCATATCTAAAATAAAAGTTTGTGATATTAAAGCTATATGTATTAATCAGAAATTCTTGAACATAGACAGTTTTAAGAAAAAATAATCATAATAATTTTAAATTATATTGGATATGAATACTCTAATGAAGCTCATAAAGAGCAAGTGGCATTGTAGTTTGATCTCAATTTACAAGTTCATATTCCACAACTCTCCTGAAATCACATCTCAATTTTTTATCGAATTGCTTTTATTTTCATTCTATTGATGCTATATTTAAATGTCCACTCATTTGATTTACAGTATACAGTGGTACCTCAGGTTACGAACGCCCCAGCATACGAAATTTTCAGGATACGACATGAAATTCGAACATATTTTTGCTCCACGATACGAACAAAAACTCACCATACGACGTTACATTAGTTCGCATTTTTCATTTGTTTTTCTTACTACAGTTATTTTTTTAAATGTATTACTTGGCTTTAATTTGAGTATGTTTTTCACGTTGGAACGAATTATTTGGTTTTACATGTAATCGTATGGGAAAAGATGATCCACCTTACGACATTTTCATGATAAGATCTCAGTTTCGGAACGGATTAATTTCGTATACTGAGGTACCACTGTATTTTTATTTTATTTTTGCAAAGTTTCCAATAGCATAAATAAATATGAATAAAAGAAAGAAGTAAAATGGTGAAGCCATTTTTAGGACGAGACTGTCTCAGAGTGCAAGCAATGCATACGCAAATCTCTCACTTGTGCCTGTTTGTAGAAACAGTCTCAGCATTTTGTATTTTCTTTTGATCTGATTCTCAGTCTCCTGACTACCTACAAGTCTGGTTTATTTTATGTACGCATGATTTGGGCACCAAATACTCTGAGCCAAATTACAATTCCTGGCATAAACTCCTTCATACTGACACTTCATAATTTTAATTTCATAAACATTTATTTTAACATAAAAGATTTAAAAGTTAAATAGTAATTTTGTTGTCTTTTCTTGAAGCTATTTCTATGCACATAACTCATACAAAACTAGTTTTGTTGAAATTACACATTGATGTATTTACTTAGGTGCATGTTAAACTATTTTTTAAAAATAAAAATAAATAAGTTTAAAGCCAAAATAAAAATTTAATAATTGATACAGTTTCAATTTCAAAAAAATAAATATCAACTTCACTTTCTGTTCTTCCTAATTTTAATAATTAGCTCATATAATACGATTAGTTTAATGATAAGACTTACACAATATATCCAAACTCCAGCATAAAGTAATTAATTACAACAAAGAACAAATATTTTCTGAAGTTTTAGGCAACCATCTTCAGGTTATTTAATGTTTTAAATATACAATGATGCATGAATTAGAATATTTTCAATTATTATTTGCATTTCATGATTAGCTTATCATGTAATGCAATTCTAGGGACACCCTAATGATAAAATTTAATTTAATACTAAGTTCAAAAGTATTATGTTCAAAACTAAAGGAATTAACAATGCAAATTCATCTTTTGATAAAATGATTATTCTTTATTATACAAATTCTCTTTAAAGAATGAAGTAATTTTTTTTATTTTATAAAATATGATCATTTCAGCACCAGCAGTTTTTAAATTTACAAAAATCCAGATTTGGCAAAGAATAAAATATGTTGCATTACCATAAATAAAAATTATTACGGTATCAAATTTCTAAACTACTTAAATCCAGCATGATAACAGCCAAAAACTCATTAGTCATTTAGTCTATTGAAACTTGATCATCTTAATCATCATGCATATTGTAATTAAATTTTAAAAATCTACTCTACGTTTTTAATCTGTACTATTTTGAAATTTTAATAATACTGAACAGCCATAAAATATAAATCATCTTTAAATTTAAATTAACAAACTGCATTAATGCATTAATAAATTAAATATACTGTTCTATATATATAATAAGCACAAGCACAAGAAATTTTAAATATTTAAAACTTTAAATACACATATGAAAACCCCTGTAATGATTACATTTGAAATTAGAATGCAATACAATAGCTGATTCTGAAACATATCACTTTTATTCACAGTTATAATATATATATTATAACTATCCTCCCTATTGAGAAGAGAAAACATATCTATGAAAATCTGACCAGTTATGTAAAAAAGAAAAATCTAACACATGGATAAAAATATATATTTTATCAATTTAATATGGTTAATCAAATCATCAAACACTCATTATAATTAGTAGAATTTTTTCTTAATGAAAGATTAAGCTATAATTTCATTTATAACAATTTCCTTAAATGAAGCAATCTTTCATTTTTCTAGTCATTCACTCATTCTACAATGATTGCAGTAAAAACTCTCAAATGATATCAAAAATATTGCAGCATCACAATATTATAAACTTAAAAAATTTATAATTCTGATATTTTCCAAATATTAACATTTGCATTATAGTTAGATACTTCTACTTATTAATCAAGATAAGTTGAATAGTATCTATTTATTTAGTTTATCTTAATGACAATTATTCATAATATTGAAACAACTATTTCTGTTTATGTCATGATTAGACAGCAACTTTCCAGAAATATGTTGGACAATGAAATTCAATAGAATAGTTTCAGAAAAATATAAATTTCTGTTTGCAATCTATTATAGGATACTTCTAAAGAACATTCTCACAGTTTTATGTTAATTTAAAAAGTTCAAATTTAAAATTAAATGTATTCTTTTAATTATTATAGAACAAATCTTAAGTTCATTATAAAAGAGGAAAAAATATATATCAAATTATAATACAGTGGTACCTCGGTATATGTCTGCTTTAGAATATGTCCAATTAGGAATACATCCTGTTTGGACGAAACAAATTTTGCTCGGTATACGACTTTCGTTCGGTATACAACTTAATTCAATTATACGCGCCATCTATGAACAAGTAGCACTATTGGTGTACTAGGCCAGACTAGATGTTCGCAGTGCCACGGTTTATAACTTTGCTAAATTTCTTCTGATTTTAATTTGTAAGTAAAATTTTATTATTTTTATTAATCATGAAGTGCAAAAAGGCAAATGAAAAGCAACAGAAAACTAAAAAAAATGATTAGAATCACAATGGAACTGAAAAAAGAGATTATTGAGAAATATGAAGGTGGCATGCGTGTTCAAGATTTAACTATTGCATACTGTATTCCGATATACTTTCTTCATTTATTACTACTTACGTGGGCCTATTTTCTAATATTAAAGCAGTTGTAGAACTAGCCACACATTCTTCACTATGTCTACTATTGGCAGAACATGCAGAAGGACATCGAGATTCTCCTTGATCATCCTCAGGTGAAATCTGCTCTTTTGTTTCTTTTGTTTTCCAAGGAAGTAAAGTTCTAAAAATATAATCATAAGTGTTTAATTAATTTGTGTTAATTTAATATTTTTAACACAATTTAAAAGTTAACTTTTTATTTTTAAATATCATTTTACTTCAAAAATAATTAAAATATTTTGTTAGAATAGACTACATTTAATATTTGTTTTAAGTTTTAAAACTGTAAATCTTTCATTTTTATATTTTACAAAATCACTAATGAATGTAGTAGTTTTTTTTAAATTTTAATAAATAAATTATATATATTTCCAAAGAATAGTTAGTAAAATGTGCTTGATCCAAGGATAAAGCAAATTCATTTTCTAATTCATATTTTGGAAATATACATGGCATTCAAAAAGTAGCTAGAAAATAAAAATAAAAAGACAGCAAATTGAATTTATCAATTTATTTTTCAATATGTGTACCATTAAGTTAAAACATTTTTACATATGGCATCCCCACCTTTTAAGCCCTTCTGGTAGAAACTGGTATTCTTCGATTCTAACTACTGCACTACAAAACATTTCACTTGATCTAACTGCCAACAAGTGCCTTTAATATCATTTTTAAATTTGGGAATAAAAGAGAGTCTGATGGGGCTAGGCATGAACACCCTATAAAATAAGTCTCGACAAGTTTACACTTGCATCAATTAATTATAAATATAGTATTCTGTTTACAAATAATAACTCCTTTTTGGGAACTTTTTGAACTGAACTTTGGTGTTTACTAAACACAATAATCATATTTCAAATTAACATATGAAATATTTAAAACTTTTTAAAATAATGACAATTAGTAATTTGCCTTTGTAATGAAAAATTCTTATTTAACTAGAAATTCTCCCATCAAGCATGATGGAATAGTATTTATGAGAAAGTAGAGATTGAAAAATTGAGAAGAGCTTCAAGTCAAGCCTGACATTGTGATGCACTACAAAACATTTCACTACTGCACTACAAAACATTTTCTGCAGCCCTTGACAAAGCCATTCTTACTTGATATTGCTTAAGTCAGACTTCACAGCCTTCAGGGATCTCAGTTGCTTTTATTGTTTTAGATGTAGAATTTACCTGACCAATTTTACTCTTATGCTTTCCCCTAGACACCTTTTTTTTTGACAAAATAGCAAATCTTTTTAATTCTATGTTGATAAAACAAAGATTAATTGTATGTACATTAGTTAGATCAGTGATAACACTTTCTAAATAACAGACTCGTTAGATCATTATTTCCGAGTGAAATAATAGAATATATAATAGACTATAGTAGAACATCATGTGGTCACTATGGTAAAATTTTTTTTAAAAACTTGTTATAGAAGTAACACAATGTGGCTTTCTTATTTTAAAGTTTACATTTTAAATTTAATGAAGTTTAAAATACTCCATTTGCCAAAATATTTAAAAATGCAACTTAAAGGAAATTTCCTCATTGAGCATGAATGTCACATGGTCATTGATATCATGATTACAACATAAGTGCAATCACTGATCCAAAATCGATAAAACATTTATTCTATAGCTAATATTTCCACAAAATAAATAGTTTATACCTTCTGTCAAAACATAAAATGAATGTAACCAAAATTTCTTCTGGATTGGACAAAAATTGTAGGCATAACAAAGAATTCACACACACACACACACAATGGATTTTATATTATTGATTTTAAAAAATCAATTAGCTATATTTCAATCTAACTTCAATCATTTCATCTAATAAGAACATGAAAATTAAAAATTTAACAATTTCTTTCATTCATGTATATATATATCTATCTTGTATGACTAAATCTAATAATTTAATTTAGAAAAGGCTTTCATTTTTTTAACTATTGATAAATTTCAATGCCAAGTATGGTACCATCAAACATGAAAATCAATAAGTTATAAACTTTTTGACTAGTGCAAAAAAATTAATTAAAAATGACATTTTAACTCATAAATGTACAAACCACATCTGAACATCGAATACACTTGTGTTCTTTCTTTTTGTATTCATGTTATATTAATTAAAATGTATGTAGTAGATCAACTTTTATTCCCACAAAATTTGTCATTCAGTATCTACAAGATAGATATTGAAATACTTATAGAAGTACAGATAGCTATAACTTTCAAGTTTCCAAAAAAATTTAGTCATTGATGCAAAATATTTAGTAGCATTAGATGATAAACATTTTACAATTTGAGAATTATATTTAATCAAAGAAAAATTAAAACCTTAGAAGATATTTTGAACTAACTATCCAATATAACTAATATAAATAATTTTGATTTATTGTTTCTATTAGATTTATTTCAATAATTTGAAAAATCTAGCAATGTGTTAGCATATTATGCCAACACATCTCCTTTTAAAAACAATATCCATTATCTAAATTTCCACACCAGGCATTTTCTTTTTTAAAAAAATTGTATTCTGGTTAATTTAAGAATTTTGTTCTAATGCAGGAAATTCCACTCTTTCTGTTCTTAATTTCAAATATTCTACATCTTTCTAATTATTCATTGACTGGTTGTAAAATAGAAATATCAGATATTTAATGAAAATTGTTTCTTTTAATATTGATTTTCTGAACTAAGTAGTTACTTTGTTTGGTTATTTAATAAATAACTTTGTTACTCTTGTTTCTATTTAAAAAAAAACTTGAAGTAAAAAATTTTTCTTCACTATTAAATATTAATTAACTATGTTCATTTGCATTTAATTCTGTGCATATTATAACAAATTTATGATCTTTTTACTAAAAAGAATAAAACTTCTGAAATAGAATACTAAATATGTTATTAAGCAGTGAAGATTAATAAATTTTAACTTAATATCTGAAATTCATATCACTATTAGAAAATTAAATTAGTTCTCTATTTCCTATTCTTGAAAAAATTAACATAGTTTCAGAAACATGATAATTTCAATTAAAGTATATGAGATATTTAGAGACATTTTGGGCACAATGTCATTATATGCTCAATACATCTCTAGTATCTCATGCACCTTTAATGAAAATAATCATATTTCTGAAATATACATGATAATTTTTGTACATATATAAACATTCAATCCATAACCCAATTTTTTAATTAAAGCCAAACTACCAGATTATCAGGCTATATAAAGGCTAATTTTAATAATTATAAAGTAACTTGCTGTAGGTAGACAGTCAGGCTGCCATCCCTTGATAAATTTAATCATTATAAATAATTTTTGATTTATTTTAAGAAGTTATGTAAAGAAAAAAAAGCAGTTCCACAACTCCTGCATACCATGAGAATGCATTTCCATTTATTCTACCTTAGACTAATATATCAATATAAAGTTTTCTTATTTTTTTACTTTTTGAATTGTAATTTCTAAGATCTAATAACAATATAAAAAGGAAGACACTGAATAAATATATTTAAAAGAACATTATAAATTATATAGTTTTTTCTATGTTTAAACCCTTCTTTTTAATTTAAGTTCACTATTACATCACTACATTTATGAAAAAATTATTCAAATTTCTATATTTGTTGTAAGATTTACAATACCCAAATACCCATTATATTCAAAAACTAATAGACCTTATAGCAAATGATAATGCTAAATTCAAGCCATAACTTGGCTAATTAAATATTTAGATATAAAGAAAGAAAGACTAATTTTAACCTTATCTATCAAATTTTTTTTCCCATTTTTTGAAATATATTGAGAATAGCTGTTATTCAAAAGCTGATGCTACTGATCAGAATAAAATATTCTTTAAATCTACTGATCACACAAACACAAACAATGTTAATTCAATACCCATAATGATATGAAACAAATATGGAAAATAATGTTGGTAAAATTTATACTATTTTAAATTTGCTGAATTATTTGATTACTCTGTAAATCATTTTTGTAGACACAATTAAACTGTTTTGTTTGATGGTACCATTTTTTGCAATGAGTTCATTCACAGCAGAAACAGAAAGAAATTACAAATATATTTATTGCAATATGTAATTTATTTATCCGTTAAAAATTAAATTTCATATTGCAAAGTGATATTTATTAAATCTTAATTATAGTTTTAACAAATATTTAATTAAATTTTTATTTCTAATACCATAAAATAAATATTTATAAATGATACCTAGAAAAAATGCTGGAGAATCCACGTTTCTTTGGTTTTGCACCTTTATATATATCATCACTTGCAATGTCTAAATTATCACAAGAATTATACAATGGTGTTTTATTATCCCCATAAGATTCTGCAACACCAAGTGAAAATTCTGTGCCTGTACTTACAGATGAAGCACTGGTAAATGAGGATGCATCTGTCTGAGATGTAAATAAACAGACTGGGGAATGTCTTGCATTTTCCTTAATACAGTCGTCATCTTTATCACTATCCCCAACGGTAGTAAATGTTGAAATTGATATGTCTTCATTTTTATTGCTTTCATTGCAGGTATTGACAATTTCGCATGCTTCTGTGGCCATAAAATGCTGAACAGTTTCCCTTGTTTTGGGAAAATCATCCCCCATTTGAGATACCTTTCCATTGTCTAAGTGTATGGAGAAATGCCCATTGCTAACAACACAGCTATCTTGTAAATGTATTTGTCTTGTGGAAGGATTATAAACTAATGGTATACTATCTAAAACATTATCAAGAGTAGTTTTACCATCTGGAGAAACTTCGTAAATTTGATGTGGTATTGCTGCACTAGCATTATTGCATTCAGTGGCCTTATAAGTGTTTTCAGAGCATTTTTTATCAAGAGAATTACTCTGTAAATTATTTACATTTATAGATGTTACTGATGAATTTTTATTTGATGGTAACGTTTTTGGCAATGATTCCACTTCAACAACAGAAGCAGGCATTGATCATTTTTATGTTTCAGAGTCTGCAGACCTAAAATTAAAAATAAAGAAATTATAATACTATCATAAAAAGGAAAATAATATGATTTTATACTAATTTTTAAATTTATAAACTTAGTAAAAAATTGGAATTTTTCACAAAACAATATTAAGTAAAAATGTATACACAAAGTAATTTTAATTAAAAATATACATATAAAGAGTTAAATTTGGAAGAAGTTTACAAAAGTACAATTGATGTAATTGCATAAATCACTAATAAGAATATTATATCTTTAGAGTTTCTAATTTCATAAGTGAAAGGAAATAAAAATCTTTCCTTTGATAAAAATTTTATATATCTAGATATAATTTCTGATTTTTAAAAAACTTAACAATATTTCTAGAATTAGAGATTATACAGATTAATGGAAGACACTAATACACACACAGTAATAAACCAAATATAAAGTCATTCTTCTTAAATGGACAATCTCTTATGTTAGTAAACAATATAAAATATTTAGGAATAACATAAGTAAACAACGCCTTTTTTAACAGTCCAGCAAAAACATTTAATTCTCTAATAAATAAAATCAGTCGAAAACGTTATTAGTTAGAGAATTAAAAATTTTTGCTGGACTGTTAAAAAAGGTGTTGTTTACTTATATTATTTATTTGATTTAGTTCCAGTAAGATTTTTTGATCATTTAATTGAAATTGTAATCTTCAACAGCACTCAAAAAATCTATCAAAATAAATACTTTAATAGATAATGCTATTTATTTATGTTCATCATTAAAAATCTCTAATCTAAAACTTCATATGAAACTATTTAATTCTTTAATAATAATCCCATCAATATATTATGCTAGCCCTAAATGGGCTCTGGATTTGTTATATGATTTAGAAAAATTTTATGTCATTTTCCTATGCAAATTGTTTAAAGTAGAAAGAACTGTTCCAGGCTATGCATTACGAAGAGAAACAAATGGATATCAACTATTTCCGTTCTATTTAAAAAACACTAATCAAATTCTATTATAGATTAAAAAATACTAATGAAGACAATATCAGATTTATAAATCAAATTATGTTAAAACAGAATAATGACTCAAGAAATAATAAAAATCTGTGGCAGAATAAATTCAATAATTTATTGCAAACATTCAGAATTTCAAGTAAAATATTTGATAATTTGGAAGCAGACTGGAAATATGGATATACATTAATAATGAAATCTGCTTTCTCTCAATCTATAATTAGGATCAAAACCTTTTACTCAATCTTCTTACCATCCGTGGTATATAAATACTTTAAATATTCCTTCAGTTTCGAATATTATAACTGCAAATACTAATATGAATATAAAAAGACAATTAGTTCAAATTAGACATAATAAATATTCATTGTTTATTAATAATACCTATATGGACTTTACTAAGGATCAATGTTAATGGTGTAACTCTAAAGAATATTCATTGATCCATCTTTTAAAGGATTGCAATAGATATGCAAAATACCATCAAAAACATGATATCATGGAAAGTACACACGAATCAAAATCAAGATTATAGAGCTAAATTAAATAATCTAACAATAAATCAAATGTATAGAATAAATAACTTCTTTAATCAAATAACTAATGAGTTAGGTAATTATGAAATTAATTGATATAAAATATTGTTAATCATATATCTAACTAATCAAAACAAAATATTTAAATGTAAACAAAAATTTATATGAATTACTGTATATTTAATGTAATTTTATTTATTGTATTCAAGAAAAATAATGTGAATTGGAATAATTGTTGACCAACTATTGTAAATTTATAAATCACTCATAATAACCCCCTGTAACAAGGCTTGTCTTAGAACAAAAAAAATATTTATAATAATAAAAAAATAAATCAAATATAAAAAAAGGAAATTTATTTATTACGCTGATAATTAATTAATCAATCAATCAGTCAGTCATAATCACAATCATATTCTTCTAGTGAATAATCTAACAGTAAATACCTAGAAAATAATTATTAATTAATTAAAAAGTTGATCAAGAATTCCTGTAAGGCTTGGTACTACAGTAGAACCTCCATTATCCGGATTTTCGATTATCCGGATTGTTCAAAATAAACAAAAATTTTACGAATTTGCTGATTTGCACTTGGCGAATTACGACACTGTTTATGTACGTGATGGAATGCATAACTTTTTTTGTTTCAATAACGTCTCACCCGGCACAGTTGTTGTAAACTCTTAAATATATTTTACGTAGTAATAAAAATATAACTTGACATACGTATTTATAAATAATTTATATTCAAATTACATCATTTCTATGACCAAGGGCGGCGTAAGGCATGGACGACGTGGGCCACCGCCTATGCCTCGCGGTCCGAAGGGCCTCGCGCCTCGAAGGTTTATGCATTACTTAAAAGCCGCGAACGCGACGAAAAAATTTTACTCGTCATAAAACGATAAATAGTTTGTCAAATTTTTATTCATAAAAATGCAGTTTCAACTGCTTTTTATTTTATAAAATCCGTCTTCTTGCGCCACCAGAGGGCCTTTTAAACAATAGGTAGTCTGTTAGCGTTGGTCAGTAGTAGTCCAAATTCAATACGAACGTTTGTTTCTTGAAAATTTGATCACGATTTAAATACAGTATTTACTTTTAATATTACCAATATGTCATCGAAAAGAAAACGTGTTGTATTATCATTAAAAGACAAATTAAAGTATCTATTTCGATTATCCGGATTTTTCCTTATCCGGACTACCTTCATCCCCAATTAGTCCGGATAATCGAGGTTCTACTGTATTTTGTGTTTCAAGAAAATACAGCTATTTAAGGAAACTAAAGCTTAAGTAACTGAGAAATGTTTTTGGATCTTTACTCAGACCAATTCAGGAACATTGCATCTTGTCTTTGTTTTAAATTTTCATGATAACATTTGAAACAATTTCAAATTTCAGCTCATGATAGCTGAAGCTGATCAAAATAAAAGTCTGAAAACGTTTCTCCTTTACTCATAGCTACTTATGAAAATTAAAATTTATTTTCTTTTTAAAACTTAAAAATTTGATTCTGACTTTAACCAATTTTGATTGTTTTATAAGACAAATGTAATATTTATAATAAGATCTTTTGATGTCAGTTTTAAATTCTGAGAAAAATTCTATTATAGTATGACTTTATCTTGTCACAATTTGGCAAAGGGTACAGAAACAAATCGCTACTTTGGAAGAAAACCGACATAACTCAAAAAAGTGTGATTTTTCGCTTATGTCATAATCAAAACAAAAATGAAGTAAATTTTTTGTGGAAGAGTGTCACAAAAGTAACTTGCGTATTTGGCCACTAGGGAGCAGTTATGTGGGAGATAAGTGATATTCAGTTAAACTTTGGTTAAATCTTTGCATGGGATTTTCTCAAAACTAGTAATTTTGAGTTGTGTTGATTTTCTTCCAAAGTAGCAAAATGTACTTCAACTGCTTAAAAATCAGATTTATAATCTTGCAAATATAATGATATACCCTTTTACATTCTATTTAACATTCTATTTAAAAAAAATTATGTAATCTTTAACATATATAATAAATATTTAATTTTATAATAAAACACAACACAAAATCAATTATCATCAACTAATTTATTAAAGATGACAAATATTTTAAACCTAAAAACTTGGATTTCTGAAAAGTCAGAATTAAAGTTCTGTTTAAAGTTAAAATTCAGTGGTGTGCCATAATTATAACTTTAGATTAATGTTTAAATAATACTGTAAAAATTCAATTCTCTTCTTTAAGATAATCAAATGAAAATATTTAGTTATGTATTTTACTGCACACTTTTTCTTCTAATCTTAAAAAATTTTAATAATTTATTTTTCTTTAACCTACTTATGACATAAAAGATTAAAATTCTGCAAATAAATCATTTCCTTTAAGCACTAGTCCATATCTAATTATTTAAAGAAAAACAAAAATTTAAGAGCATCTTTAAAAATTGATATCATGACCTAATAAAACATAAAAAATGCAAATATAATCTTTCAAAAAAGTATTCAAATTTATTAGTACAAATTTTTTTTCACTTCAAATATTGATATCATTCAGTTACATTCTGATGAATAAGAACACACTTTCACTCTGATTAAAATATATTTATCTTGTTAAAAAGCAGTCTTGAATAGCATGAAATCAGAAGTTATATTGTATAAGATTTTTTCTCCAAAATAATGAAATAATAAAAAGTGCTTTAACATAACATAAAAACTCTTTCAAATAATATATAGTCATCATCACATCATCAGGAACATCAATTCAAAATAAAATATAGTTACTTACGATATAAATTAGATTGTAAGTTTTAAATCTAATTTATCTCTTCTTAAACAAATTATAAAATATGTAGAGACATTACATATAAAAATCGACATTCTCTGTTATCATACAGTTTAAAGATAAAGATATTAAGTTATATCTGAGATACAAATTAGTGGATTAGCTATTGTATTGAATCATATTTTTGTAGTATTTTGACATGAAAATGAAAAAAATTAACAAAATTTCATGCTTCCAGAAAATAATGATGAAAGTAAAAAAGTCATTGGAAAAATCCAGTTTCTTGTAACACAACTTTTATTAGTAGAATAAAAGATCTACAACTAACTTTATTCTTTGTTTATTTCAAACTTAAAAAAATAACAGAATTTAAAATACAATATACAAATTGTACATATACAATAGAAATTTAATCTTTTTAAAATTTTCTATTTAGAAAATTAAAAATCAGATGCCCATGATATAACAATATTTAAAAAAAAAACAATCATAAATTTACAATAATTTTTATATTTTATATCCTTAAAAATTCTGAATTAATGAATGATTGATCATGCAAATTGTATCTATCACAGTCTTTATAGAATTGATTGAAATCTGTTTTTAGATTGAATGCTATCAGATGCATTATTAAATATATATATCTCTTTTAACAGTTCATAAATTTTATGAAAGTTTTAAATAAAGACATTAAATTAAA